CTTGTGGTCTCCTTCTAAAGATCACTGTTCTCTGCACCCCCCTGTAGGTTTATACCCACATTCCAACCAACATCTGAGAAGTTCTGTGGGTAAACGGGCCAGGGCTCGTGATTTGGGGGAGTCTGGGAATTTGTGCCCATTGAGCAAGGCCCAAATGTCATAGCAGCCTGTGATGCCAAAGTAGGCATCAAACTTAAATAACTTAATACTTTCCTATGTTTTTATTTGTAAAATACTGAGGCTCAGTAAGGTTATTATTATTATTATTATTATTATTGCCCTAATGCCATCGACGTTGCTAGTGGCAGGATCAGCACACACACTCTCCCTCTAGCACTACATTTCCTGTGTGAATGGGAGATAATCAGAGCCGATTGTTCCTATGAGAATCTACTGCTGAGGCTCGTGGAACAAGACTGGTGTCACTGGGTCACAGAAGGTCCCTAATTACTGTCCCACTGCTCAGATGTAGTCAGCGATCCCGTGCTGCCAGGGTAGGCTAGGGAGAAGTCACCTGAATATTGAAATGCACTAAAGCTCGTTTTGTCTTATTTTTTAAGGGACGATACCCTCCTCCTTTCTTCAATGATGAAACAATCATGTTGGTGCGAATTGGGTGTTCTATAAGAGCTTGAGGTCGGGTCTTGCTGGTGAGACTGGGGCATGCTTTTAGGCAGAGGGGGTCTCGCGACCTAGTCAGCTCGTACTGTCTCAGCAGTCGGCCTGCTCCCCTTAAGAGCACAGAGGGTCTTAATTGCACGACTCAGTTTCCTTTGTCTCTCTTTAATGGTAGCGATAGTTTTTGTTCTTGTTCGGTGTGTATAAATTGATGACAGAAGTTGAATACTTCTGTAAAAGGAAAGAGTCAAGTAAAGGGGAGTGGGGTGGAGGCAGCTGTAGGGTCAGAGGAACCTGGGCAATGAAAAGGCCCCGAGCAACAGTCTCAGGTGGTGTCTCGGTGACCTTCTGGGAGAGCCACCGCTGCCTCTCCCGGCACTGAGACTTCCGTGGGCCCTCTGGGCCGCATGTGCGGGGAGGAGCGAGGAACAATGGACAGGAACACCTCGCCTCCTGCTTCACTTTATTGCACTGCACGGTAATGTGGGTTTTTTTTGTTTTTTTTTTTAATTGAAGGTTTGTGGCAACCCTGAATTGAGCAAGTCTATTGGTGCCATTTTTCCAACAGCGGGTGTTCGCCTTGTGTCTCTGTGTCCCATTTTGGTAATTCGCACAATATTTCAAACTTTTTTTGGTATTATTGTATCTGTTATGCTGATTTGTGATCAGTGATCTTTGATGTTGTTCCTGTCATTGTTTCGCGGTGAACAATGGTGAACTTAATTATTATTAATGAATGTTGTGTGCTCTGACTCCTCCACTAACTGTTCTTTCCCCCATCTCGCCCCCTTTCCTTGGGCCTCCCTATTTCCTGAGACTCAACAATATTGAAATTAGGCCAATTAATAATCCTACAATGGCCTCCAAGTGTTCAAAGGAAAGGAAGCGTTGCATCTCTCCCTCCTTAAATCCAAAGCCAGAAGTGATTAAGCTTAGTGAGGAAGGCATGTGAAAATCTGAGAGAGACCAAAAGCTAGAGTCCTTTTTCTAGGAACTCTTTCCATGTGGAAGGAGATGTTCTTCTTGAAATCAGACTGCTGACCCAAGACCCAACAGAACGAAAATTAATTACATAGGACTGAATGAACTGATGAAGGAAATTTCCTTTCTGTTAGTTGTTTGGAATATTTTTAGTATTATTTCTACTGTTCTATTTTTACGGGTATATGAGGAAATCCCATTTCTTTCTCTTTACACTATCTCTAATCCACCATTTAGTAGACTGTGCACTTGTAAACTGTAACTATTTTTTTTAATGTTATCTGATTTTTCTCTCACCCTCAGAATTCAAAAACAAATACTTCCACTGAGTCTCCTTACTTTTCATGAGAATGTAACTATTTGCATAGGTTCCATAAAAGCTTACACTCCTTTTTATGAAGGTGCAATTGGACAAATGAAATATGCACCAAGGCCATACCTAGAGTGTGATATTTGAGAGTGATTTTCATTTAATCAGCTACAACAGGAGCACTACTAAAGGCCAATGGTTGATTATATGGGGAGCTAAGGCCTCCAAAACCCTCCCAAGAAAAAAACATGGTACTTGGCTTCTTGGGTCCCAGTGTCTAAGGTCGTAAGGACCTGTGCAGGCCAGGAACCTCAGAAACTTTTGGAGACCTCAAGAAGAGGGAAATTCACCTAGATTTACAGGAACTGCATGTACAATCTGTTAGAACAAGTGTCTTGGTCTTGGTTTCCTACCCTTGTGATAGAAGAACAAATAATAGAGACTTTGAAAGTCTAATTCAAGATTCATTTTGAAAAATTTCAAACAGACGTTAATTCTTTGGCATTGGTAGTGACTTAAAGCTGTTAAGCTCTAGGATTGCTGAGCAAACTCAGGGAGGTCTATCTGGTTGATTCAAACTCTGACTGCCTATATGTAAATATCAGGCCATCTATCATAATATCAGTTCTTTAGGGATCTAGAATACTTTCTAGAGATTATATATGATCACAAGGTGGAGAATGCCATTACAAAGACCCAGAATGTAGAAATAGAAAGAGAGCTTATTGGCTGTTCTTTCTCTGTGACGCTAGGCTTGACTATCATCTGAGATATTTTACAACTCTCTAAGGGCAGAGAGGTGACTTGTAGGCTTTTGTCTTACAGACATGCAAATAATTTTCTGTCTGGTGGAACATACACCCAGAAGTTACATTTTATGACTGTTTTGGGCACTAAGCTGTTTTGTTCCCAATCCAGGAATCTCATCTCCCTACAAATTCCCCCAAGTTCTCAAATGCTCTTTGACCCAATTATAATATCTTCCTGGTTCTCTCCTTAATCAATGAGTTAAGTGAAATCTTTGACAAGTGTTCGTTTTATATTTGCATGACAGTCATGATTTTGCGTTTTTGGTCTCTAACAGGAAAGAGAGGCAGAAATAGCACGGGTGAAGCCTCGGCAGCAGAAATGCCAGGATGTGGGCAGAGAGCAGTGAACAGCTAGGAATAGGGGGCTCTGCTCTGGTCCGAATGCTTGCGTCCCCGCCCCCGCCCAATGCATCTATTAAAACCTAATCCCCAACGTGCTGGTGTTAAGAGCCAGGGACTTTGGGAAGTGAGTAGCTCGTAAGGGGGAGCCCTCATGAATGGGATTCGTGTCCTTATAAAAGAGGCCGGAGAGAGGCCCCTCACCCTTTCCACCACGTGAGATGAGGACTCAGCCAGAAGCTGTGAACCAGGAAACAGGTCCTCCGCGACACCAAATCTTCCAGCGCCTTCGCTCGGACTTCTCAGCCTCCAGGACTCTGAGAAATAAATTTCTGTTTTTCATAAGCCGCCCCGTCTACAGTGTTTTGTTGCAGCAACCTGAAGCGGCTGAGACAGGGTGATTACCAGCATTTGCTGGGTGCCCACCATGCTCCAGGAGCTGACCTTTCTCTCGTTATCTCCTCCATTCCTCACCACAGGGTGGAATAGGTGTTAACAGGAACTATGGCCAAGAGTTCAGGCAGGCAGAGCTCCCTGAAACATCGTAGGTAGTTGCTTCTCAAGGAGAGGAGAGGAGTAGAGGCAGGTTGGCCGGGAAGGAAAGGCTGAGGCCGACTGTAACAGGTTCCAGGTGGAGCGATGTGGACGCCGAGCCCTGCACAGTGGGGGTCTCCGGATCGGAGCACCAGGGACATGCGACAGCTGTTACACGGGCTTAACCCACTAACTGCAACTGGGCCTGGAAAGGAAGAGATGTGTGGGTTTTCACCCTCACATTGCATGCACTGTCCCTTTCTTCCCATCTGTTGTGGGTTCAATCGTGTCACCCTCAGAAACGATATGCTCAAGTCCTAAGCCCTAGTACTTGAGAATGTGACCCTATTTGGAAATAGTGTCTTTGCGGCGAAATCAAGTTAAGATGAGGTTTTCTCAGTGGGTTCTAATCCAATGACTCCTAGCATTACAAAATGAGTGAAATCTGGACAAAGACGCAGGGAGAAACCCGTGTGGCAACAGAGGCAGAGACTGGAGCGATGCGTCTACAGGCCAAAGAACGCCCGGGTCGCCGGCAGCCACTAGAAACCAGGAAGGATCCTCCGTTAGGGTCTTCAGGGAGAGCACATGGCCCTGCTGGCAGCTTGATTGTGGACTTCTGACCTCAAGAACTGCGAGACAGTTAGCTCCTATTGTTTTAAGCCCCCCAGTTAGTGGTGGTTTCTTAGGGCGCCCGCAAAACGAACACAGATTTGGTAATGGGAAGGGCCTGTGCCTGCTGCTTGTCCGGCAGAAGGATCCTCGCAGATGTGAGTAAACGAAGCGTTTAGAGACGGGGCGACTGCCCTGGATCACCTGGGTGGGTCTAAGTCACAAGGGAGGGAGGCAAGGAGGTCCCAGGAGGAAGAAGGCTTTGTGCAGGTGGCGGCAGAGGCTGTGTGAGGCGGCCGAAGAATATGGGCAGCACGTAGGAGCTGGCAGGGGCAAGGAGCCGAGTCTCCTCTGGAGCCTCTGGAAGGAACCCTGCCGACACCCTGATTTTATCCCCATGAGACTCATCCTGGACTCCTGATTTCCAGAAGTGTAAGAGGAGGAATCTGTGTTGTTTTAGCCCCACTACATTTTCGGTCATTTGTTATGGCAGCAATAGGAGACTGACAGAGCAAGGTAAGATAGATCACTTGCGTAAGAGCCAGGGCAGCGCGAGGGACTATTCCTCTCACCTCCTGTTAGTGTTTCTGCAGCGTTTTCATAGGTTAAGCTTTGCATTTGTCTAACATCACAGCAGCAGAAAAAGCCCTGAGTTGTTTTGTATGCACACACACACACACACACACACACACACACTCACACACACACAGGTAACAAAAACATTAGGTTAATCTGGTGATGCAAAAGCCAACTAGAGCATATGGTCAACCATGAAAGCTTTGGAAACCTGCCTCTTACCTCAAGAAATTTCCAGAGCATCCCCTCGGTAAATCCAGGAAAATCTATCTCTGCTTAAGCCTGGGGCAGCAGGATCTGGTGCAGGCAGGAAGGTTGAGAAGGCTAGCAGGGTCCGTTACCTGGGTGCGTCTTTACTTGGCAGGTCACCCAGATTTTAAAGCGAGGAAGAACCGTATGGAAACACCAGAGAAGCTATGTGATCACCGCAGACTTTTCAGTCCTCGCCTTCATTGTTTTCTCTATGGGTTTCTAACGGTTCACACTCTTTTCGCTTTCACCTCAGTGTTGTTAAGTTTTGAATAAGTAGCTTGAGACCTTCCTCACAGACTATAGTAGAAAGCCCGTATTCCACAGTCACTAAGAGCAGTGCTGGTGCCCTGCCTGGACACAGCAAGGTGCACACCTGTCTTCCTTCTTCCCCAAGTCACCCCTCAGTGGCTCACTCCACCCAGGGGAGACGACCAGGCAGGCACTGTGCCTAATGCTTTCTGAGCAATATTTGGGTCATTTAATAAAGGCCCTTTGGGACCCATCACCATAACCCAAACAAAAAGTACTGCCTTGGAATGGCGTTATAGCACACACCTGGGCAAAAGGTTTCAGCGTGGCAAAAGTGAAGCAAGCACCGCCTTAGGGAACAGTGTTTCTGTCTCTTTAAAGGCAAACAGTTTCGTTACTGGCCCCACCCAACCCGAGCTTCCTGGCTCAGAGGCTTTTATGGGGTGCAAACACTTTTGCCCGGCACTTCATGCAACAGCAGCAGCTCACACAGCCTCCTTGGAGGAGACTTGGGACTCATCCGCTGCTTCCACAGGTGAGCCTGGCTGGGAAGAGGGCGCTGTGCAACAGGGCGGGGACGGGCAGCAGGGGACAGGGCATGGGTGGGAGGGACTCTGCTCTGAGGAGGGACAGGACACCGTGGCAGAGCGCTGCACAGACGGTGCTGCCAGGGTAGTGGCTGTCGCAGGTAGAGAGGGAGGCGAGGAGATTTGCGAGCGCGGTACCCACGCATCTCCTGTTCAGCACGACACGCTTTGTTGCCCACTGCGCCTTCCAGCCCGCGGCTCCTGTGACAGATGCGCACGTCGCTCGTGAGCTTCGCAGGGAATGGAGCGCTCCCCTGGCAGATGCTTAGGGCTGGAAGGCGATTTGGAGACAACCTGTCTAAATTCCTCCTGTTGCTAACAAAGATTCATAACCCCAGAGAGTTTGGTGACTCTCCAAGGGTTTCCCAGGTGACTCACGACAGAGAAAGCGTGAACTGAGTCTGCTGGCTCCTTTCCAGCACCGAACAAAAAGCAGCGTGTGTGTGGGGTGGAGCCGTGCTGCTGAAGAAACAGTGTGAGCTGAGGAAGTTCTAGGGTGCGAGGTGGCTCTAGGTGAGTCGCCCAAGTGTTTGCAGTCCTGGCTTTCTTGCACAGTGACAGTGTTTTAGGCGCAGCTGCTGCGCTCTGGGCAGTGTGAAACAGCGTCTTGGAAATGACTCCGTGGAAGCCTCGGGGCAGCCCTGCGGGGCTCACTCGGTTCCCTGTCCCTTTCCTAGCAGAGACAGCGGAATCTCAAGGAGCGTCTGAGGCGCTCTAGGTGGGATTGGCCACAGTGTGGGTCTGCCCGCGCCCCAAGCACGTGCTCTTTTCACTCCTCAGCCTTTGTCTCTGCTGAAGGTCCTCTGGGTCGTCCAAGAACCGCTTGAGAAAGTCTTAAAATGATTGCTTCTGCTCCTCTCTCAGCCCTGGCCTCTCAGCGTGGGAGAGAGAAGTCCGCAGCGAAACGGGAAGCCCTCCTGGTTGACTCCGGCCCCGTCTCTCTGCGACGTGACGTGGCTGACATTCGGCTCTCGGCCTGAGAGAGACCGGGCGGAGGCCGGGGGCGCACGCCGAAAAGCCAGCCTGGCGGTCGGGCAGACCTGGAGTCACACGCCTGTCTGCCCGGTCCCTGTCGGCACGGCGACTGTGGGCGCCTTTCTCAGCTCTTTTGAGCTGCATCGGTCTCCTCCTTTTAAAAATTTAAACATTAGTTTCACTGCAAGTATTTAGGAAGAGTAAATGAGATAATGTATGAGACACGTTTATCGGGGGCTCTGATACACAGTGTATACTCAGTACTGGTTTCACTGTATGCACATTAAAAAAATTTTTTTTTTTTTTTTTTTGAGACAGAGTCTCACTTTGTTGCCCAGGCTAGAGTGAGTGCCGTGGCGTCAGCCTGGCTCACAGCAACCTCAATCTCCGGGGCTCAGCGATCCTACTGCCTCAGCCTCCCGAGTAGCTGGGACTACAGGCACGC